TTATCACAATCTTTTTTGCATTTATTATATGCTTGTTGCTATTATACTATCCTCTATTTCTCAAAAATGTTTTATACTATACTTTTCAAAATCTCTTACCCTTGTGCTATTTTATATACTTTTTTTTCTGTTTTATCTCTATTCAATTAAACGTAGACTGCGGCCAATTCCTTCTTCATCCATTGAAGTCATTCCGGATTTTTCTTATGCGAATATCTGCCAGCATCCCGGTATAGAAAATGCTACTTCGGCGGCTATTAATCAGACTGCGTAGGCCTGTTTCTGTACATTTTTATCCCATTTCTTGTGCTTGCACTGGCTCTTTCAAACCATGGTCCTTAAAAAAATCGGCATTCCTACTAGCTCCGCTAATTAATCATCTTTTTAATATAACCAGCTAATTGATTTTAATTATTCGGGTGTTTACATTTGAATATGAAACATGAGAGGCTTTTCAAGAAGTCTCACCACTATCAGTCTAATATTATACCGATTTGAAATTTCAGTACTCCTCGGCCTAATGCTTCTAATCATCATCAATTTTGCCTTTTCGCAATCTCGTTTTATTTTCCTTCTTAATAACAGTAAACGAATCATCTAAGGATGGTAAAGACCGTAACGCATTTAATTAGATATTTTCTTATTTGATCCAGATGGTATAAAAGGTCCTCAATTTAGCTTTTATTGCTTTATTTTAACTTAACTGTGGTTTGAATTTTTGCTATAGGAACGATTAATTTGTCGGTCCTCTTTTTGAAATTGATGCTTGACTTTGCGACTCATAAGTTGCACTCATCAATATGGCGTCATTAGTTCGTCATTCGAAGGCACATGCGTAACTTAGCAAAATGTAGGATGTTGCCGTTGCCAAGTCCTTGGAATAACTTACTTTAAGGATTTGCATGTATATTGATTGATGTACTAGTTGGACTTTAAGATTATATTTAATTTCGATGGTTGAGATTACAAGATATCTATAACAACGGACCTTTTTCTCGTTTCTTATATTTACACTAAGATAGATTCATTTTGGGTTTACTTTTTTACAGGTTTCTTATATTTACTTGGTATTTCTTCTTTTTCTTTACCTTCATAACCTATTTTACTAATTTTTTCGCTTAGCGGTTATGGGCTAGCTAACCTTATTCCAGCATCAACAGGTGAAGAAACTAAAACTGATGAGCCCCATGGAGTTGCAACTGTCGAGCCACCTTTGACAGTGGCGGTGGAATTCCCATCCGTAGATTTGGCCGATCAATCCCAAGGCCAATTTCATCTAGGAATGAGCCTTGGCAATCATATTACATGCGAATCTCCTGTTTCTGTAACGTCACCTGCTTCTAACACGAAAAAGCGTAAGCTACCTACGACGACTCAACGTGTTGTCCGAAGAAGGATTAATGCTGCAAATCGTCTTAAAATAGATGAGTTTACACAATTGTCAAGTGGAGATCTTCGCCATCAATTTAATAGTGCGAATGAGCTTGTTGTTTCGGCTGCCAGTTTGAGGGCACTGCCCTTACACGAACGTGCGAAGAGGTGTGCTGATGTTTATTTTTATATTTTTTACATATCTTGATTTTTTCTCTACGTAATATCTTCATATCACTCGCTTGCATTGGCCCTATTAAAGGTCCTACATAGAAAACTTGGAATATCACTATAACATTATTTCAGAAATTGATTTTTTTTTAACATGACGGAAAGCCTTGAAAATGGAATGGTAGATTTAAACTCAGCACGACGTGGAAGCTATATAGTTAAGTCGATAGAAGCTTAGTTACCTTAGGTCGCTTAAAATGAATTATTGGTTGATGGTTAGGCTTTTTTGCATTGAGGTGAGGTGGCCTCACATCGCTCTTCTCATCCAGAGTGGACTGCAGTTTAGGCCCTCTCTAAGTCTCAACGTCTCCAGCAGGATTCGATATCGGGTCGCGAGTATCTCAAATTTCGTGATGTTACCACTACTATATGGCTATTGCTGCCAGTGAGCCATAAAGTAAATGCGATACTTAAGGCAAGCCCGGCCTCTCATCGAGAAAAAAGAATTGCAACGAAACAAAACGTCATATCGTATTTGTTCTGCTGCATTTTTCCATCTTTAGATATTTCAGAAACAGACAGCCACCCGTAATAAATAAGTAAAACATTGAAAAGTACGTTTTCTATTACAATATTGCCTTCCCGAAAGTCCAGCATAGTTTTAAAAAATATGAGTCTCTATCATCTATTGTGTTATAAAATCATGCTATAGCTGAATGAGATCAAATGAATCCTTAGATTTTAGTGTCGCAATTCCCTATGCACAAGGACTCATCTTTAGCATTAATTGCACCGAAGTTTTATTACTTAATTAGGCCTTCACTTTGTCTTCCCGGGGCATAGTCAGCCTTAGTGCATAATAGAAGCTTTCGACAATGCTCCATTGCCACTTCCATAGTAGAACTATTTTTCGACAACTTGTATTTCTCTAATGCATTAGTTATGATTTCTCAAACTCCTTTTCCTTTTTAGGCACGCGTGTTCTAAAAGTGTTCCACGGCTTTTTGCGCTCCCAGCCAGCTGGAATATTGGAATTAGCTTGTCTCTAGGCGAGGTGAGCTTTGATATATGCCTCGTTATCCTGTCTGATTTTTTTTTAAATATCCATTCACAAATAATTTTGGTAAGGCTTTTCTCAGATCAAAATTATTTCTGAATTACCTATCAAAGTTTGATGTGTACAATCTTGCCTGTCAGATTTTAAATTTTTAAAAATTAGGTTTAAAGTACCTTTAGATCTAGAGTTTCTTTCTACTTTGGCTCCACTTACGTTACTACTTTATCCAATTCAGACAAACTTTCATACTTAAAAATATATCATATATATATATAATAGTATATTCATCACATCAGGTTTGTGTGACATTTTTTCGTGGCTAAGTTTAATAGGTGGTTAATTTGAGAATTTTTGCTACATACTGCGAGCAAACAAAAGGCCATACCATTTTAGTCTTCATATTGTTGATGCTTTGTATTGTTACACCTAAGTTTACTATCCATCCCCTTGCGTATAAAATTTGATTACATACACATCTCCAGGTTTAAACACTTTGAGGGTTAAAAAGCATACTTATTTTTTTAAACAAACTTTCTACACATGGAGAAACATAGTGATTAGCTATGGAGCTTCCTCCTATATTTACTAAATGAGGTCTTACGCACAACCCTGTCTTCCATGCAACTCCCTGTATCCTTAAATCAGCATAATTAATGAGTTTATATATATATTAATGAGTAGAAATTGGACCACAATTTGCCAATGACGATTACTTGCTCTGATGAGTTACATTTTCATTCCCAGATTGACTATGCTGGTGATACGTCAAAAAATTTATGGGTCAACTATTCGATGCCTTAAGAAGGCAGGTTAACAATGACAGAAAATGCGATATAGGTTACTTTTATCGACGTCTCAAAACTCTACTTATATACGAAAAATGGTTTAAATTAATTCTTTACAGAAAAAGAAAATTACAGCCAAGCTTAAATGCCATTGTTTTAAAATTCATATAGATTTTTAAAATTAATTTGATTAAATTATCTGATCCTTCTTAACAAGATAGCATTACTCTATAGTTTTTTTAAGCGAAATATATGGTCTATGGTTATTATACTTTGAGTATTCCATCTTCATATCTATCCTTTAGCTTTGGAGGAGACATCGTCGACTCTGCGAACTGCATCGCAACTATATCATACACCAAAACGACTTAGCTTTCGAAGAGCTTGCTAGTAAACGTAGCAAAGCTCCTGCTCCGGCTATAGCTGTCGTAGATGAAAGCATGATGGAGATGTCTTCTCGTGAAGAGATTCGTTTGGGAGCTAGTGGTTCAACTTCTTTCGTTTTAGGACAGAATTCTCTGCTGGCTCCCGGCGCAGCCAGTCGAAGCCGCAGTCGGATTGTTGCAGACGATACGATACAAGTTGGAATTTCCTTTTTTACTTTCTCATTCCCACATCTAAACAGATGGCTATTTGTTCCATTAGTCTAAGTCTTACCTAATAAAGTATCATGTTTATTTGTATACCTTATTAATTTTTAGCCACAATTTGTTCTGGACCTTTTTTGAACCTTACCATTTAAGTTTGACCTTGTTTTCGCAACCTGGTCATATTGATAAGACGCACCTAGTCCGGAGTCCATTGTATGCATCATCATTTCCAGAGTAGGACCGTGGACATGATACATTCCCAGACGTTTCGCCGGCATCGTAGTCGGCATCGTCAGTGAGTCTCGCCATTCGTAATACAATATTACAACTCGTCAAAGAGACAGGGTGAAGCCCATCCTTTTTGGTATCTCCTCTTCCGTCCTGGGCTATTCACATTTCCTATATCCTCCTATCATGCCTTCCCTGTCACCATTTTTTACCCTGCTTATTTTTAATGTAGTGTGGTATGCTCCTTCGAGCGGCATTCATGTAAACCATTCACACTTACGCTGTCGTTATCACCCCATTTACTCTTGTGCTGAGAGTGTTGACCAGAGTCTGTTATATTGTTACGTAGTCCTCTGGGTCCTATCAGTCTCCCTCCTGACCCGTAGAATCCGTCTGCTGTCTCCCTTATATATGTATTTCACTCGAACCCTGCCTCTCTCCAACTGTTCTACTCGAGGCGTAATTCATACATCCCCTGCACATGGGTGATTGATTAGAGGCTAAACCTCAGAGTTAGTTTCATGGTCATGCCTTTGCTACATGGAGCACGTCTCTTGTAAAACCTACTGTCAGACAAATATCTCCAATCGCCGCCTCTATCCTGTCTCTATCCCTAATACCTAGTCTATGACTTGACATGCCCTAGTCGCTTGTGTGCCAGCCCACAAATGTTGTGGTACTGCTGGCTTTAATTAGGTTTAATGTTGAACCACAACGTTTGTGGGTTAGCACACAAGAGACTAGGGCATAGCAAGTCATAGACTTGGCATTATACATAGAAAGATGATAAAAACAGTGGAAGTTAGAGCTAGTTGACCAGTAATAGTCGTGATTCAAGGATCACGTTTATGATCAAACACGTCTATTGTTAGCCAAATAGCTTTAGTCTCCACAGCGTCTTTGCTGTGTTTATCTGTAATACCATGTCCATCGCATCCTACATCCTAGTCCCTTGTTTGCCAACCCACAAATGTCGTGGTTCTACTTGTTTTGATTAGGCTCACTGAAGACGTCTCCCCTTTGCTTCTGATTGTTCCTTTCTCATCCCCTTACGATATCTTTTGCTAAAATTAAGGATATTACCTTGCTCCAGTCGTCTTCTTTTTGCTGATCTCGCTGTTGCCTGGTCTTCTACTAGTTTGGTTTGGCCTTCTTCAACTCTCCTGTTCATTAGATTTATCTCGATCAGTATATCGATGGCCTCTCGGATCTTGCGTTTTCTCATATTT